TGACTAAACATTCAAATATACAAACTTATGGGGTCAATCTTATTCAAAGCACCCCATTGTTATTCAAACCACCACATACCCCTCTCTAACTCAGGTCTTCCTCATCTGATATCAATACTACAATTTCTTCTTCTGAAAGGTATTTATCTTATCTATTTTTTCAGCTTTTTGCTTTTAACATATTTATGAATTATATTTGTAGTGAATTCCTTATAAATACCATACGTCTGGGTATTTGATTTCAAAATTCACTCCGTCAACTTCTGTCTTTTAGTTTAAATGTTTACACAATTTACATTTAATAGAAAATAACAGAATGCAAGCATACAGAGAAACATTGGGTACAGTCATACAGTGTTTCTCTGTATGCTTGTATTCTGTTCATTTTCTATATTTTTCCTTCTCCCCAATGAATTGGTAAGGCATCCTCATTTGAGTTACTATTGCTATGATGAAGCATCATAACCAGAAGCAATTTGGGGAGGAAAGGGTTTATTTTGTTCACAGTTCCAAGTAACAATTTATCATCAAAAGCAGTAAGAAAATGAACTAAGCAGAGCAGGAACCTGGAGGCAGCAGCTGATGCAGCGGTCATGGCAAGTGCTGCTTACTGCCTTGCTTTCCATGTCTTACTCAGCTGCTTCCTTATAGAGCCCAGGACCAGCAGCCCATGAATGGCACCACCCACAATGGACTGGTCTCTCTCCCATTGATCACTAATTAAGAGAATGTCCTGCATGCTTGCCTAAAGCCCCATTTATCTTTTTTCTTCTTTCATATATTCTATCCCCACAGCAGTTCCCCTCCCTCCTCTCCTCTGAGCCCCTCTCTCCACCTCCCTCCATCCCCAGATCCACTCCTCCTCCTTTCCCTTCCAAAAAGGGAAGGCCTCCCAGGGCTATCAACAAAACATAGCATATTAAGTTATATTAAGACTAGGCATATCCTCTTACATTAAAGCTAGACAAAGCAACCCAATACAAAGACAGGGCCCCCCAAACAGGCAAAAGAGTCAGAGTCATCTTCTGCTCCTACTGTTAGTAGTCCCAAAAGAACACCAAGCTAGACAAATAACACATATGCAAAAGGCCTAGGTCAGACGCGTGCAGGCTTCCTGATTGCCCGTTAAGTCTCTGCGAGCCTCCATGAGCTCTGGTTAGTTGATGATGCCGGTTTTCTTGTGGTGTCCTTGACCCCTCTCTAAAGCCCCATCGTATGGAAACATTTTCTTAATTGAGATTCCCTCCTCTTTGACGATTTTAAGCTTGTGTCAAGTTGAAATAAAACTGTCTAGCACATATGGGTTACTCAAACATTTTTGCAATTCAAATTTTATTTATTTGTGCTGTTTTTAGTATTCATAGTTGAGTAGCTTTTTAGTGGTTTCTCTGGGTGTGGGGTTATGAATAAAGTTTAATATAGAAAGATAAATAGATAGATAGATAGATTAAATATGTATATATAATGAATAGATTGATTCAGTTGTTTCTATCAGTTACAATCAAGCATTAAAATCCACTCCCCCTAAGCCTGTTTTCACATCACTATTGTGCAGCCTTGTTTATACACCGGCTTGACACAGACTAGTGCATTCTGGGAAGAGGAAACCTCAAATAAGAAAATGCCCCATCAGAAGAAGCCCTGAAAGCAAGACTGTAGAACATTTTCTTTACTAAAAATTGATGTGAGAGAGCCAACCCACTGTGGGCAGTGTCACCCCTAGGCAGGTGGTCCGGAGCTGTATAAGAAATCAGGCTGTGCAAGGCATGAGGAGCCAACCAGTAAGCAGCACCCCTCCACAGCCTCTGCATCAGCTCCTGCCTCCGAGCTCCTTGTTGAGTTTCTGCACTGCGACTTCCCATAGAGAAGACGCATGACCTGAGCATACATGTTTTTCCTCTACTTGCTTTTGTTCATGGCACATTATCATAGTCACAGGAACCCTAACTAAAAGGACCATTTATAATTTATTTTTAACACATTTTTCTTCACACTTCTCGAACAATGTCAGACAGTGTGATGTTTTGTTTTAAGTATCCAACATGATTTGTAAGCTTCAGTAGAAAGAAAGTACCCGTACTTGCCCATGGCATTTTTCTCTTCTTTCCCGATTTCGAGACTCCTTTTCCTATGATTTATATTCTGCTTGGAGAATTTACTTTAACCACCGCTTGAGAGTAGGCAGGCTAAGGACAAATTTGTTTTGTTTTATTATTCTGAAAAATGTGTTGCGCTCCCATTCCCGAAAGATATTCTGGCAAAGTATAGAATCACACATTGGTGAGTTGATTCTTTCCCACCTCTTCCCACCACTGCTGTTTCTGATAAAATTTGAGGCCATTTTAATTGTCTTTCCCTGCAAAATGCACAAGTTTTCTCTGGCAATTTCTAAGATTTTTCTTTCCTTTTGGTTTTAGAAAGTTAAATATATATCACGCCTTGGTATGTTTTGAGTGCTTGCACCATATATTTTGTCAGTTTTTCCTCATCTTTTGGATCCGTAGACTTATGCCTCTTGCCAAATTGAGAGGACTCAGCCATTTTTCTTAGAACACTTTTTCAACTTTTCTGTCTTTGCCTTCCCTTCCTGGACTTCTATAATAAAGATGTTTTGTTTTGTTGGTTGGTTTCTTTTTTCCCTTCAAACTTCCATAGGTCTTAGCTCTGTTTATTATTCTCTATTATTCTCATAGGATAATTTCACTCTTTTCTTGCTTTTCCCTTGTCTTTCTTTCCCCTCCATCCTTCCACACATTCCATCCTCTGACGTTCTTATTTCAGCTCCTGCAGTTTCCAGATATGCAGCTTTCACCTGTTTCTTCTGCATATACATTATTTGTCAAAGGTTTTGTCTGCCTGTGTTATGAGTACATCTGTTCCTGCTCAGTAAAAGCATGTCTGTTTAAAAACCTTCGTCGGATCACCTTTATGTCTCTGTCATCTTGATGCTGGCATTTATTTCGTTTGTCATTTAAGTCTAAGTACTACTAGTCCATTGTATGATGACACATGTTTTTCTATTGAATGCATTTTGTGTTAAGTTCTGCGACTCAATGTTTTGTTTTAATCATATGCTTTTGCTAACCTTGTAGTACGGAGGGCTCCCTGTTCCATCCTGCCCAGCTAGCTTACACCCAAAATAACCACACAGAAATTGTATTCACTTAAACACTGCCTGGCCCATTAGTTCTAACCTCTTATTGGCTAATTCTTACATTTTCGTTTAACCCATCTTCATTAATGTGTATCGCCACTTTGACTGGCTTACCGGCATGAGTCTAAGCAGTGTCCATCTCGGAGAGGAGAGCCATGGCATCTGCAACACTGCCCGTCTTCCTCCCAGCATTCTGTTCTGTCTACTCTGCCCACCTAAGGGCTGCCCTATCAGAAGGCCAAGGCAGTCTCTTTATTCAACCAACGAAAGAACACACAAACAGAAGACCCTCATACACCATAACCTTCTTTGAAATCACTTTGGAAAGGACAGAGCTGGTGTTTGTAACTTCCAGTTGGGCATAGAAATGCCAGTTCTCCACTTGATCTTTGTAATACCCAAGGGAGAGAAGACTCCTCACTACTACTTGGTGAAAATGGACATTCACCTGCCTCCATAGTTAGTCTCCACTGGCCCTGGAGTGAGCTGTGGCCTCATAACCAGTAGGCATAAATATTCTACCTCTATAGTTGGTGTTTTCTCTACTTGGTATACCAGATGGTGCTGTTGGGTTATCCCATTTCAGCCTTATGAGGATAAAAATTAATTCCCAAGTTTTGCTGCAATGCTTAACAGTGAAGCCATGGGTGATGCTGGGACACGTTGACAGAGCAAGGTAGCTGCCGTGTGAAAACTCTGTGACTGTTTCACCCCAGTTCAGCTACAGAAAGGAAGCTCTTCCGGGGGCTGTTCCTGTCTGTGTCCCTTTAAGTTCCAAGTAGCGGGCTTCTTTAACACCTAGTCAGAAGTATATGTTACAAAATACAAATCCAAGGAATTCAGCCATATGTTGGTGTGTGTATGAGTGCACTGTACACACATGTGAAGAGGGAGCAATACATTAGTGTGTGTATGAGTGCATTGTGCACACATGTGGAGAGGGAGCAATACATTAGTGTGTGTATGAGTGCATTGTGCACACACGTGGGGGGTTGAGGATGTTAATGTTACCCCATGGAAGTCAGAGGAGGGTGTCAGGTGCCCTCTGTTTTTTCTTTTTCTTGCTGGCACTTTCCATTCCCCCAGCCAGGTGGTTATAGCCTTAGAGCAGGGGTGACAGAGTGAGAAGTCTACCAGACCTTCTGAGATCCAAATCCAGGTTCTCGAGTTTGCAGCCTGCTTGCTTCTAACCACCAAGTCAGCTCTCCAGTGCCTCTGTCATTTATAAACCTCATCTTAAAGGATTTCTTAACCACCAGACATGTCTGCAAATGACTGAAACCTCAGTGTTGACCTAGCACCTCCTAGGAGGTCAGGCAGGGGTCATCTGACTCTTTGGTACCCACAGTCAAACAACCAAGCCAAGTAACAACGTGTCTGCTTTCAAGCTTAGCTGACACAGGGAGAGGTTTTTTATTTATTTATTTTGTGTGCATGTGTGTGTGCATGTAGGCAGTGTAGGAAGACTTAGACAGAAAAGAAACCAATTGTTTATTTACACAGACCAGAAAAAAATTGTCTGGACTTGCTTGCTTCCTCTAGTGCTAAGGGTGTTGGGGGCTGGCATTTGTGGTTTGCCTTTGGGGTCACAGATGACAAAGGCAAAAATATGAGAGACTGTGGGCTGGAAGGGAAGGCAAGAACACTTGATCTCATTCCATTTCTGACCCAGCGCTCCCAATATTTGAGTGGGACACTCTTGGGTAATTCTAAGGTAACCACAAGCAGAAGATGCGAGGGATGTTGCAAGGGTATGTTTCTCAACAGCACTTCCCGAAATGACTGTGACGTCTGGTGCAAATGAGCCTTTAAAACCCTTTCTGCATCAATTCCAAAAAGACGATGAGCCAAACCTTAGAAAACACAAAGTTTGCTTCCTCTCAAGGACAGCCTTTCAAAGGACCGAAGGCAAGACGTGTCGATGAGCTGATCCTTCTAGGTAGCCTCAGAGAATCACTGAGCTGGGAGGATCAGAGGGAGGATTTTAATTCCCAGTCTAGAGGAGAGAAAGCGGCAGCAGTGTCTTCCTTCTGTGCACACTGACTCCTCCTCACACGCTTAAGCTGAGGGAACGGTTTTCTCTAGCCTTAGCTTCCTGTCCCTGTCCAGTGGATAACCAGTCTACCCTAGCAGCTTCCAGATAAAAAGTCAGCGGAGCCAAGACAGCGCCCTCCTGTGGAGCCTTCTGAAATTTGTTCCTCCAGGAACATGAGAGAGCCTCAGAAATTGCCATGCTGTCCTGAAACACATACAAAAAAAGGAGTTCCTGGAGCAGGGGATGGGGGCAGGAGGCGGTGGGCGCAGGGAGCAAAACTGCCTGTGCTGTCTAAGAAGGGCCGGCAGGGTGAAAAGACCCCTGAGCGTTACCAGGCACACGGTGCTGCAGGCACACTAGGAAAAACCCCTATTTCAAGGAGGGCTTGGAAGAGCAGGCTCCACAGCGGGAGTTCCCGTGCGGCACAAAAACAAGCTGTCTGACCCAGCTCTGTATCTCCCATTGAGCCCAGAGTCCTTGTCTGATTTTAAAAGGGGTAGCCTTAAAAGAGACGGCTGGACGCGGAAGTAGTGTAGTGGGTGCTAACTTAGAAAGTGTTAAGACTATATGATGCATCCCCTGGGTTTGTGGTCAGTGGTTGACAACCTCAAGGGACCTCACGGTGTACACTTGTTGACCCGACAGCATCCTTTTTTATGAGGAAGGCCAAATTCTCAGAACCTATGTGACCTGAGCCTGGTCCCACCGCAAAGTGACAACAGAACGGGGACTGCAGCCGAATCTCACTCTGGATTCCAAAGTCCCCTGACTCGCCCTATTTTCTGCCAAGACCACTCACTGACAAACAGTGCCATGAAAGCAGAGATTCGCTGAAGGGGCAGGAGTAAAGGGACTCACAAGGTAGCCACCTTTCTCCTTCAAAAAGTAGCTGCATCTTTCCAGTCCTCGCTGAATCCTATTGGAAAAATAGGGGGTGGGGAACGGTGTCTTTTTAACAGTCTGCTCCTCGCCTCTGCTCATTTTAACTCATATACATTTGCATGTGAAAATTACCTTCCTAGCTCCGAATTGATGTTTGCATGCACAAGGAGAGACGCCCCTCTCTTTGAAGCTTGAGAAGACATTGCTATGAAAAATAATTATCGTTTCCATTCTGACGCTCACCCTGTGGCCCCCTTGCACCTCACACATCAGAGGGTGCCGACAAGAAACTACACACCCCGGCCTGCACTCATTTTAAGCACGGGCCTTCTAAAACAAGCTGGTGTTGCTTCCCTCCGATTTACTACCAGAAAACCTGGGCCCTGCGACTTGATTTGTTCTGGTTTGGGGCCTTGTGGCCCTTTCTAATATCTGCTGTAATTTGATTTCCTTCTTTACAGATCCATTCTGCAGGCACGGGATGAGGGCTGTGTTGGGAGCAGTGAAACCCCAGATCCTGAATTTCTTGTAATCCCCTGATCTGAGTGCCTACAGATGCTCTGAGCAGGAGACCTTCAGGAGTTCCTGATGGCAGGAGAGTGGTTTCTGGTGGATTTGGCTGGGGTGTGGCTATCTCTATAAATCTGCCCCTGAACATAATAAAGGGGGCATTCTTAGGGAATTAAAGGATGACCCGTGTCACTGTCTCTCTGTCTGTGTGTGTTTTTTAACCTCCAACCCCCTTGCCTGAAGCTCGCGAACTGGGTGCCAGCATGCAAAGAGCGCAGACACAGGGGTGCGGTGCACAGCAGGGCTCTGTTTGTATGTATACAAGATCTCGAAGCCCTATGAACAGGATAACTTGGCAGAAGTTAATGACCCAGGTCTGGTGACAGCAGCCCAGGAAGCTCCTTCCTGCCAGGGCTTAGGCTCCCATTGCCTCCCTATATAGCAGTCTCTATGCATCAGCAACATCCCGAAGGTTGAGTTTCTTCCCTGCTGTCTACTCAGCTGCACCCAGGTAAACAGGAAGGTGGGGGCTGACTCACAGTCTGCCTGTGGTGAGAACGGAAGTGATGGCTTTGTCACGTGACTGTCTACTTTATCAGTGGCTGTCTTCAGATTAGTCCTATTGAAAACACAAAAGATCGGTCTGGCCATTCCCACTGGAAACGTGAGAAACACAGATTCAGAGAGCGCTTTCCCCAGACTCATAACAGGCATGTATGAAGGCACAGTCTTGGCAAAGTCTCTGGGGATGGTGTCCCTAGAGCCTGCATGGGGATGTTCACACATTCACACTTCAGCCCACACTTTGCGATGCAGGTACAGGGGTGCGGAAGGTTCTGTGTGACTCCCTGAAAGTCCTAGGACATCAGAGAGAGAGAGAGAACGACAACAATAATTGCAGCCACACCGCGGTTAAGCAGGGACAGTCTGCGTTGCACTGTGTTGAGGTACGCTTTGCCCTCGACTCAAAAGGGACAGACTGGGGAGCCACACCCAGAAAGGCCTCCATACTGAACATGCTCAGAGCATCCTAAATATGTAGCCAGCAGCCCCTCGGCTATATTAATCACAGTCACGCCCTCTGTGCTGATGAGGTTTCAGCTAATGAGGGACCAAAACTGTAGCCGCATGAGGTAGCAACCGACCTGAAAATTCCTTGTGGTCTAAATGCTGTAGCCATGTCAGTAATGCTAAATATTATCGAGTGTTTGTGGTTGTCGTAGTTGGAATTTTATTGCTGTGATGAAACACCGTGACTATGACCAAGAACAACTTGGGAAGGAAAGGGTTTATTTCATCTTACACGTCCAGATAACAGTTCAGAACTGGGGGAAGTCAAGGAAGCAACTCAAACAGGGCAAGAACCTTAAAGCAGGAGCTGAGGCAGAGGCCATGGAGGGTGCTGATTACTGCCTTGTTCTCCATGGCTTGCTCATCTTACTTTCTTATAGCACGCAGGACTGCCTGTCCAGAGATGGCACCATCCCCAATCATCTGAGTTCCTACATCCATCATCAATCAAGAAGATACACTGTATGCTTGCCCACAGGCCAATCTGATGGGGGCATTTTCTCAATTGAGATTCCCTCCTCCCAAATTATTCTAGCTTGTGTCAAGTTGACATAAACACTAGCCCGGACAGTGGGGATGCTGGTCTAATTACTCCTCTCTATGGCTTGTAACTCATGAAATAAATAGGCTTGCAGATATCATAAATAGGGGGGCTGATTCCACTCCTTAGGTCCCATCAGGAAGACCATACTGCTCTGAGTCTCTTTCCTGAATAAGCTTTTGATCCACACAGTAGTACCACTGTGGGAACGACAAAAAGGAAAGATTAGACCCCAGAAAACATATGTGATGTGCCTTGGGCAGGATTGGGTCCCACACTCAGGGTTTCTGACATCGGGTCCAAACACCAAGAACACAAGGCAAGCCTCCTGGAGAACACCAGATGGTCACTGATACAAGCACGTTCTTTGTACACTTGCCACGCCCACAGAATAACATACAGACGAATGTGCTAACTGGGGTATTTCAAAGCAGGAAATTGCCTCTCTGGATGTTAGTTTGGAAAAGCCTCCTCCTGATAAGTATATTTAGGGCCTGCAGCCGGGAATCTTAATGCTAAACAATACCTTGGACTACAGAGGCAAAGTTAGACTTGCCTCCCAGTTGATAGCTTTTTTCCTTTCGCCCAGCATCTGCAAAGCTCTGTTGCATAGACAAGGACTTCTGGAGTAGATTTTTATCATATTTATTATTCAGCATAATCTGTAGGCAGAGCATGCACCAGTAACTCTCTTAAGCCTTTGGAGGATGTGTGCAGTTAGTGTGTGAAACCACCGTTTCCTATGGTGCAATAGGAAATAAAGTGGAATTGGCTGAAATGTATTCCACGGAGAGGAAGTGCTGGGGTCTTCAAACAATGGAAATTAGACATCTTCTCATGTCTGGGGCACAGTAACCCAGGAAAACTAAAGCTGCTGAATATAAAATGGAAGTAGCAGGATTCCCTCTTCTCCTCTTCAGATGTAAATCCTTTCCCCCCATTAGCCTCTGCATTTACAGAAGTAAACCCATAGACAGAAGACCCTTGGGATTCCTCAAGGATTATTTAACCTATTTACAGCTCAGTTTGTAGATCAGGAGCTTGTCCTAGCCTCACTCTGGGAAGGAGGAGAGGTAGCAGGGCTCACCCTGGGGTGGAAGCCACAGGGCTGGACTGGGATGGTTGAATTATGCGAAGGAGTGTTTTCTAGAAGCGGCCTCATCTGCCTTCGGTGTGCTGGGTGTGACTGTGTAGTTGACTCCACCCATCCAATGACCCCACCTCTCAGTCTCAGAAAATAATCTTGGTGTTTTTCAGCAACTTATAAAAGGTATATATTGGGAAGTGAAACTGAAGGTCGTTGAGCAGAATGTCTGCACATCCCCTCTCGTCTCATTACCTGGAGTAAAAGTAGTGTGTTCTATGAGAACAACTGCAGTCAGAGAATCAGTGAGTGTCGAAACCATTGTTTGCTTCAAGGAGAAGGAAGGTTGGCTCCTGCCAGCCGCTGGCCACACCACCATTGATGTGAGCATCTTGTCACGCCTGGTCAATATACAGACTTGCTTTATTCGTGTTTCCCCTTAAAGAAACCCCACTTGATGTATTTTTGGATGCAGTAACATTGAGCTCTCTGACACCCTGTACCCGAGGGCTGAGGCTAAGCCTTAGCTAGCTTATCAGTTTCCTCACCACAGCCCCGTTGTGCTTAAGGCTCTGAACTAGCACTTTGGGCTTTTGCTGTGAAAACACATGGCAACAAACAGACTTTAAAAAGGTACTTGTTTACTGAACACAGAGGACCTTTCAAGTCATTTTGCCACTTGCCTCTAAATGCCTACAAATACTGATTTCAGTTTACAAATGGATTTTAACATGTAGGTGAATCCTGAATACAGATTTCACAAACAATGGGAATCTGCAGTGTAATTATTATAACAATAAAGTATTACTGAACTTCAAACATCACAGCTAAGCCCACATGGGAGAAGAATAATGATTGTAATCTATGCACCTGTACCAAATACCAAGTGTGTTTCAAGTGGCATCATCTAAACTAGTCTCTCTCAGTTGGGGTACACTTGCTTCCCTTTGCTGACTACAGATAGTAGTAAATACAGTCAGACAGATGCCTCTTCTGGTCCTCGCCATAAGTCCTCCAGATACCCCACATGCCATGCACAAAGATTGTCCTAGCTCCTCTCACTATGAATCTCTAAATATAAATCTGAAATTTTTAATTTTTAATTTTTTTTAAATCTTATGCATGTATGTGGTTGCCTGAGTGGATGGTTGTGCACCATGATGCCCTCGGTGGCCAGAAGAGGGCACAAATCCTCAGAGAGTGGAGTTACTGGTAGTTATGAGCCACCTGATAGTGGTATTGGGAACCAAACCTGGGTCCTCTGTAAGAGTAGCAAGTGGTCATAGCCACTAAGATCATCTCTCCATCCCTTTAATAAGAAATTCTTAACTAATACTAAGAAAACTGTAAATTTTAGATTCAATACTCAAATAGTTTTAGAATACAAATTTGCATAGTACAGTTAGTTTGGGCCATGGTGCTGGGGATGAAACTCCCCGAAGCATGCCAAGTTGGTATTCCACCACTCAATCACACTCCTAGACCCAAGATCCAAAGAGCCCCCAAATCTCTCACAACAGAGTGCTGTGCAAACCGCTCATGTTCCCGTCTAGCATCTCTGGAAGGTGGGTTTAGCACCACCAGAGACATCGCTGTCAGATGCTTAATTTTCTTGAGATCTCTATTATTTAAATTATAATGGACATGATCACTCTAAAATGTTTAGCACGTGCCACAATGGCTTCTCAGGAAGAAACTTTTCCTAGTTTTTTTAACAAGATAATTCTAACGTCACTTTCAAGCCTAGCATTGGTTGAGATGAGTAGAAACTAAGGTGTTTCTCCTAAACGTTGTTTATCATTTGAAATAAATAAGATACTACTTCATAATAAAGAAAATGTGTATGAGTTTGACTTTGAGGGGCAGTAAAGGGAAACTTTCTTGTATGTCAGTATGTCTTAACATGACATCATGAACCATTTCCAAGTCCCTCCATGAGCCAGAGTCCCCACAGATTAGCTCCCTATTTCCTGTAGCTGTTGAACCCACTATGATGCCTCATCTTGACTGCAATTAGGTGGGACTTAGAATCATCATGGACACAGAACTCTGGGCTTGTCTGTAGGGATTGCCTTGGTTAAGTTATTGAAGTGAGAAGACCCACCCGAAATGCAATGAAAATATGAAAGCAAGGTCAGCACAGGTATGAACTCCTCTCTGCTTCTTGACTGTGGGTGCAGTGTGACCAGTCACCTGGTGCTCCTGTCACCCTGGCAACCAGCCACCTCCTGCTCCTGTCACTATGCCTCCCTTCCTGTTATGGGCTGTATCCCTTAGAACTATAATCCTAAACAAACCCTTTCTGCCTTGTTAGGTATTTGGTCACAGTGATGACGTAAGTACTGACCTAGAATATGTAACGTCT